TGTTTTCTTTGAAAATCTCAGCCATAAAGAATCATGAATTTCTGAGTGTCTTCTGAAAGAAAATGGCCTGGTCATTAATTAATATGCTTGAGTGTTTAAGTAGTACCTTTTTTTGGGTGGTGTTAATTAACTGATTAGTCACTCAGTACACTTAAATTTCTATAACTACTCCTCAGATAGTCACTCCTACCAAATCTAAGAGTATAGAGTGATAAACAAACTAATGATGAGGAATGGGTCAAACTCCACCAGAAATCATCAACGCTCCACCAACTGGCTTCACACAGGTCCTAGGCCTGGAGCTGTAGCTATGCTTTTGACATGTGTCCACTAGGAAATGGGCCAAAGCTATGAAATTGTCATCATGTTTTACCAGCATTTAGACAGGAGCAAAAGCACTTGGATTCATATCAGTGAAAAGCCCAGCTGACTGTTCCAAGTGCCTTGTCCTAGCCTGTTTGCAACTGAGGAATTTGGGATTTAAATAACTGAAGTATAAACACAACACAAGAATCCCTCGATGGACTCTAAACTGTGTCTTCACTAATATATCCCACTGGTGATGGAGGGTTTGTAATTAGGGCCTTTGGGTATTAATTAACACCAACATTGGTTGCATCATGTCCTCTGAAATATTGCTAGTAAGTTGCAGTGAGTTTTCAATAGCATGGTCCAAACTGTTCCCTGGTGTACCTCCTCTCTTTTCACTGTGGTTACCCCAGGGGCACATCTGAACCAGTGTGTTTTTATCACTGAGATACTGAGCTGGGTCCTGATAACAGACACACCACTGGAGTAAGGGGAATTACTCTGTATTTACACCAGCATAACTGAGATGAGAATCTGGGCCATTGTGCACATTCTAAGTTCTCCAGCATCTCACAATAATGTGGGATAAAAACTACTGCTATCGAAAGGAGAACACAGAAGCATGGCTACGTGTTGTGCTTCCATTGTAACCAGTCCGTGCTGCCCATGGAGGCGAGGCACAGTTACAACCCAGGCTGTGAAAACACGCACAGAGCTGGAGAGCTGGGATTAGAGCCCTGGTCCTTTATTTCCAAACACTCAGGGCCAGAGTGTCAATGGAATTTGTTTTCCTAAAGATGCAGATAGGAACCTAGTGAGATTTTCAAAAGCAGCAGGGGGGAACATACAAAAAATGGACTTTAGCTCCTAACCACTCTAGGTGCCCAAATCCCAGAATCAGGCCCCGGTAGGATTCTCTAAACCTTCACTCAGCTTCTCCCAAACTCTGTAGGCATCTAAACTCAACTTGGGGCCTACTTTTTGCAGTGAAATGCCCTAGAGTGCCTAGGTTTCTGTCTCTCGGCATGTGCACTGGAGCCTGAGACCAGGCATCTGGAGACATACATCCCTGAGTTCCTCCCCCTAACTCACCTAAGGGGCCCAATCTGGTAGGTGAGCTCACACAAAAAGTTGGGGTGGAAGGAGGGATTCCCTTGTCACTTTTAGCACAGTGGTTAGGGTACTGAGCTGGGATATCAGAGATCCCAGTTCAAGTTCTCCCTCTGTTGGAAGGGGAAAAGGGAGGATTTGAACAGGCTATGTTACTTCTCAAGCGAGTGTCATCACCACTGGGCAGTGAGATATTATGGTATGTGGGACGTCCTCTGTCGCTTCAGTTGAAGCTGTTTCATGCTGGGTAACTAATAGAAGAGTCATTGGGTCAGCAAGAAAGATAACAAATATAAGAGTGACTCTAAAGCCTGCTGGTTAGAGGACTCCACTTCTTTCTGGGGAGACTGTAGAAAAAAACCCCAAAAGTCCTAAATAAAAAACACCATTTCATGACTGGCTTTGTTCATCACTCCCAGATTTGCCCTGAAGAACTGAGAGATGTGAATGTAGAGTTTTGCCCTCCTTACTTATAAATACGAGTATGCTGAGTCTATGCTGAAGCGGTAGAATCAAGTGTTCCTAGAAAGATTTTCAATCCTGGAGTCATGATATTTAGGTTCCTACATTAGTATTTGGCTGTGGAAATTAACTTGAAAAACCCATATTCAAAAATGTTCCACCTGAATTCATGATGCTGCTTTTTATTGGTTCACATTGATTTTCTCAGCTACCTCTGATAGTCCCAGAGGTGGAGATATGAACACTGTAGCTTGTTACGTATTGAAGGATCTTCATGAGGCAAACCAATCAGGTCATCCTCATTTTCTACCACCACAGCCTGACTAAACAAGCGGGGAAACAACAAAGAAGGTAGAAACCACTAAGCTATACCCCTCTGACTCATTAAACCAGCAGAACGTATCCCCCTTTCTTTTGAATAAAAAAAACACATTCACTTGGATTCTCTGAATTCGTGTGCATGGCACAAGTTTACCCACAGAATTACTCAGGACCTCCTTTACCTTTGTATTTCGCAGGCTGTAGAAGAGGGGACTGAACAGGGGAGTCAGGACTGTTTCGAAGAGATGGAACCCTTTGTTCAGGTCTCTCGGTGAGTTGGACTTTGATAACATGTAGACAATAATCAGAGTCCCATAGAACAGGTGGGAGGTGGGAGGAGCAGGTGGAAAAGGCCTTTTGCCTCCAGGGATTAGGAGGACGGTGGAGATGTAGGATATTAAAGTTAAGAGAAAAGGGGGCAGAGTGAAAAGTATAGGCAAATGTTCATTTATTTCTTACAATTCAGACCTATACGATGCAAGAACACCAAAACTGAGGGACAAAGCAGGCTGCTCCCTAAAATAGAGAGGCCTAATGCTAGCCTGGCTGGATGCAGAATGACTCACAACAACCAGAGCATATATTTCTGTATAGAGATCCCCAGTCTGCAATTGGGACCAGAAAATCCCCTTACACTCAGAGTTACAGCTTGTAATTTAAACACAGTTCTCAACACCCCACACCCTGCATAAGGATGAATTAGGTTGTGACAAAGTTTCTGGCCTATAGGGAGTAGGTGGCTGATCTAGGAAGAGAAATGAAGAGTCGTGATTCTCAGACCTATGTCTTAACCAAAAGACACCCAACCCTTGATGAATAACCCACTCAGTGTGTATTTCGGTCCCGCCAGATGTTCTGTGGCAGAAGATGTCAATTAGAGCTCAGTGAACCACTGATTTTTTGGTTTCAGAGGAACAGCCGTGTTAGTCTGTATTCGCAAAAAGAAAAGGAGTACTTGTGGCACCTTAGAGACTAACCAATTTATTTGAGCATGAGCTTTCGTGAGCTACAGCTCACTTTCTGGAAAATAAAAGCTTCACCACCAGGCTATGAGTTATTCTCACTTACTTTTCATATCCCAATGACTCATTCATGATGAGAATCAATAGTCATTGGGCCAAAAGGCAAATCCAAGGATGACTCTGTAGCTTGGTAGTTAAGACGCACACTTTGGCTGCAGGAGATGGAAGTTCTACTCCCTCTTTCAATGACTATTTAATTATTTATACCCAATGGAACCACTTTTAAAGGAGAGAAAGAGAGAGAGCTTCTGCAGAGAGTATTCCACAGGCCAGTACACTTCTTTGCAATGTGGGAGACTGAAGACTTCCCCCCCTCCCCACCCCCATCAGGCATGGGGGATATTGAACGTGGGTCTTACACACACATGAGTGCTCTAACCACAAGTTAAATGTTGTAACAGGGGCGCGTTGCTCCCCCGCATCTACGTCCTGAAAGATTTTGGTTGCTTGTTGCTGAAAATATCCAGCTAATTTGAGTTAAATTCATGAATCACTTTGGGCTGACCAAATAAACTATTCATTCAAACAAAGCCTGATACTGTATATACCTCCATCTATGAACCGCATACGGCCCTGCATCAGGGGAGAGCAGGAGGGTGGGGTGGGTGGTCAGGTTTATTTTGTGTCTTTGTCTGTTTCTCAGCTGCATCTATCAAATGGTGCAATTTTTTCTTTGACTCCTCTGTGATAGAGGACAGCTTTGGATAGACCTTCATACAAACCACAGCCCCTTTGGTGTTTCCTTCTGTGTCATATGGGGTATGTCTATGCTGCATCTGGACAGTGTAATTCCCTTCTCTGGCAGAGCTACACAAACCATCTTTGATTGAGCTACTTTGCTGAAAGCAGAAGTGTACCCTGGGAAGCACAGACTAGCTGCCCGTGCCCCGTCCCAACTGAGATCCTGTACACACGTGGCTATCCAAACCTGCAGCCTGTGCTGCCATGTTCTTACTTCTAGCTTTGTGCTGCTAGCTGTACAAAACTTTTCCTTTTGGAAAATCTTTGAAAACCAAGCCTAGGGTTTAATATTAAGTTCTGGTTATCTAACCGTCTTCATTAGGGTTCATGTGTGTCTACCCAAGCTGGGAATTACACCTCCCAGCTGCAGGGTAAACCTACCTGTGCTTGGACTCTAAATATCTTTCATTTCCAATCTCTTGATTTTTTGTTATGTCTTCTAGATTTGTTGCTATGACACTGATAGGATAAAGATATGTCAAAACCCAGCCCCAAAGTCTTTATTTAGGGTTCTAGAGAGCTTAAGGGAGTCAGACGGGACATTTCTGTAATTCAGTAGGGTTCCATACTCTTGGTTCGCCTAAATTGGAAGTTCAACCTCTTAATTATATGAGTCTTCCTCTGTTTATTGACAACTTCATTTTTCCAGTGGAGAGATGAAGTGGTATGTGGTCACAGGTTTCCACCAGTGTACAGGTTTCCAACAGTATAACCAACAGCACAACCTGACTGCATGTCTTCCATCAATATTTAATGGTTTTCTATTTCTAGATACATATTACGGAGAAAGTTGCAGGAAGAAATCAAACAGCCATTGTAAAATTCATCCTTGGACACTCAATAACAGACTTGCATCCACTTCATGTGGATTTATACAAGTACCACTTTTCATAAAGAATGTCTCTTACAGTATCAAGTTTTATATAAAGAAATGTCTAATAAATGTATGAAAGATAAATCCTCAAAAAGTAGCAGAGTAACAGAAAGAAAGAAAGAAAGAAAGAAAGAAAGAAAGATGAAGTCAGGTCAATAAGGGGTAACCCTGTTCTCAAGGACTCAGATGGGCCATGTCTAAAAAACTGTATCTGTTCATCTCTATTTTACTATATGCTAAAATTTGTCCTTTAAGGTTCTATGCCTTTTCTGGAAGCAATCAGTTTAAGAATAGCTTTTCTCAGGGACTCATTGACCTCTTTGTTTCTCAGGCTGTAGATGACAGGATTGATCATGGGAGTCAGGACTGTGTAGAAGACAGAGAAGAGTTTGTGTAGGACCGTGGGAGTGTTAGCTGTTGGAGCCACATAGACAGTAATCAGTGTCCCATAGAAAACTGAAACCACAATGAGGTGAGAGGAGCAGGTGGAAAAGGCCTTTTGCCTCCCTGTGGTGGAAGGGATTCTCAGGATGGTGGCGATGATACAAATGTAGGATGTCAGGGTCAGTAGACAGGGCACAATTGTCCCTATGGCAGAGATAGTAAATGTTACCAGTTGAAGAGTCTGGGTGTCATCACAGGACAGCTTAATCATGGGTGAAAAATCACAAAAGAAATGATCAATTTCTTTGGAATTACAGAATGTTAATTGGAAAAAGAAAATATCTACTATGGCACAGCCCACAAGGCTACTTATCCAGGACCCAGCCACCAGTTGGCAACAAACCCTGCCATTCATCAGAGCATCATAACGGAGTGGATTGCATATCGCTAAATACCGATCATAAGACATTGCCATGAGCAGCAGACATTCTGCAGTTGACATGACACCAAATAAGTATAATTGCAGAATGCAGCCCTTTACAGAAATGGATCTGTCCCCAGTCAGGAGACTGGCCAGCAGCCTAGGCAGGATGGTGGAGGTGTAGCAGGTCTCCAAGCAGGACAAGTTCCCCAGGAAGAAGTACATGGGGATGTGAAGGTGCTGATCAGTCACAACTAGCACAATAATGAGGATGTTCCCTGCCACAGTCACAATGTAGATCACTAGAAACACGAGGAAGAGAAGGGGCTGCAGCTCAGGGACATTCCCAAATCCTAAAAGGGTGAATTTCACGATGGGTGTTTGATTTCTTCCTTCCACTTTCTCCATAATCTGTATCTAGAAAAAGAAAACCATTAAATATTGGTGGGGTGCACCAGGCTGAGGTTGATGGTTGATGGTGGGATGGAAATTGTTGAATTGTTGATTTCAACAATTTCCATCCCACCATCAACCTCAGCCTGGTCCAGTCCACACAAGAGATCCACTTTCTGGACACTACAGTGCTAATAAACGATGGTCACAAAAACACCACCATATACCGGAAACCTACTGACCACTATTCCTACCTACATGCCTCCAGCTTTCACCCTGACCACACCACACGATCCACTGTCTACAGCCAAGCTCTGCGATACAACCGCATTTGCTCCAACCCCTCAGACAGAGACAAACACCTACAAGATCTCTATCAAGCATTCTTACAACTACAATACCCACCTGTGGAAGTGAAGAAACAGACTGATAGAGCCAGAAGAGTTCCCAGAAGTCACCTACTACAGGACAGGCTGAACAAAGAACATAACAGAACGCCACTAGCCGTCACCTTCAGCCCCCAACTAAAACCTCTCCAAAGCATTATTAAGGATTTACAACCTATCCTGAAGCATGACCCAACACTCTCACAAATCTTGGGAGACAGGCCAGTCCTTGCCTACAGACAGCCCCGCAACCTGAAGCAAATACTCACCAGCAACCACACACCACACAACAGAACCACTAACCCAGGAACCTATCCTTGCAACAAAGCCCGTTGCCAACTGTGCCCACATATCTATTCAGGTGACACCATCACAGGGCCTAATAACTTCAGCCACACTAGCAGAGGCTCGTTCACCTGCACATCCACCAATGTGATCTATGCCATCATGTGCCAGCAATGCCCCTCTGCCATGTACATTGGTCAAACTAGACAGTCTCTACGTAAAAGAATCAATGGACACAAATCAGATGTCAAGAATTATAACATTCATAAACCAGTCGGAGAACACTTCAACCTCTCTGGTCACGCGATTACAGACATGAAAGTTGCGATATTACAACAGAAAAACTTCAAAACCAGACTCCATCGAGAAACTGTTGAATTGGAATTCATTTGCAAATTGGATACTATTAACTTAGGCTTGAATAGAGACTGGGAGTGGCTAAGTCATTATGCAAGGTGACCTATTTCCTTTGTTTTTTCCTACCCCCCACCCCAAGACGTTCTTGTTAAACCCTGGATTTGTGCTGGAGATGGCCCACCTTGATTATCATACACATTGTAAGGAGAGTGATCACTTTAGATAAGCTGTTACCAGCAGGAGAGTGGGGTGGGGGGAGAGAAAACCTTTTGCAGTGGTAAACCATTTTTTCATGGTTTGTGTGTATAAAAAGATCTTCTGTACTTTCCACAGTATGCATCCGATGAAGTGAGCTGTAGCTCACGAAAGCTTATGCTCAAATAAATTGGTTAGTCTCTAAGGGTATGTCTACACTACGGAATAAGGTCGAATTTATAGAAGTCGGTTTTTAGAAATCGGTTTTATAAATTCGAGTGTGTGTGTCCCCACAGAAAATGCTCTAAGTGCATTAAGTGCATTAACCGGCGGACGCTCCACAGTACCGAGGCAAGCGTCGACTTCCGGAGCGTTGCACTGTGGGTAGCTATCCCACCATTTCCCAAAAAACCCCAAATTAAACCCCGATTCCCCAGAACTCCTCCCCAGTTTTAAAAGGAAAAAAAAAAAAAACAACCAGGCCACCAAGAAACCACGTAACAATAAGAAATCCTTTCACAGGTCTAGGGTAAAATTCCCCAACTCAAAAAGGGGGAGTGGGGAACCCTAAAATGCACAGCTCACAAGAAGGGCATGTTTGGGGTCGACCAGAGCGTTCGTCTCTGGTTTTCTGGTAGGCGCCTCAGCTCCTTCAGTTTCACCATGTCGGGTCCCTGTTATGCTCTGTCCTTCATGCCCTGGAGATTTTCACAAAGGTTTTGGCATTTGAAAACTGAACGAGTTCTGATAGCACGTTCCTCTCCCCAAACACATCAGTCCGTACCTCCGTCGGTCCATGTAGCTCTTTGATTCTGGGACCCATCAGGTCACCTGTGCTGATGAGCTCTGCATGGTCACCTGCAGTTGCCACGCTGGCCAAAAGAAATGAGATTCAAAGTTCGGGTTCTTTCCTGTCTACCTGGCCAGTGCATTGAGTTGAGAGGCTGTCCAGAGCGGTCAGAATGGAGCACTCTGGGATAGCTCCCGGAGGCCAATACCATGAATTGTGTCCACAGTACCCCAAATTGAGGGCAACGTCGATTTAGCGCTAATCCACTTGTCAGGGGTGGAGTAAGGAAATCGATTTTAAGAGCCCTTTAAGTCGAAATAAAGGGCTTCATTGTGTGGACGGGTGCAGGTTTAAATCGATTTAAGCTGCTAAATTGACCAAAGTTAGGAGACCAGGGCTAAGGTGCCACAAGTCCTCCTTTTCTTTTAGGATAAAAAATAGCAGTGAGAACAGGACAGCACATACAGGGGCTTGGGAGGGCCACGTGTGGACGTACCTAGGATCTCAGATGGGATTGTGCTGGGGCAGCTCGTCTGTGCTGCCGAGGCCACACTGCTATTCTTAGCACAATAGCTCCATCACAGATAATGTGTGTAGGTCACCGGAGCAGGGAATTACACTGCCCAGGTGCAGTATAGACATAACCCAGGAGACACACACCGAACACCAAAGAGGCTGCGGTTCGTATGAAGGTCTGTCCAGCTGTCCTCTATCACAGCAGATTCAAAGAAGAATTTGCACCATTTAATAGATACAGCTGAGAAACAGACAAAGACAAACATTAACCTAAACACAGACCATGGGCTGTTACCGATCTCAATTACGCCAGGGTAAATTGCATCCGCTTTATGTGGATTTACACAAGAGCAACTAAGACTGGAATCCAACCCCATTTAAAGAAATGTAAGTGAAATAGAAATGAAAATTCATCAAGATAGAAATAAGAGAGTCGTTCTTATTCAGAAGGGAGAATGTGCCTGGAGAAAAATTTTAAAATGGAGAAAACGAAAGAGATAAATAAACAGAATAAGATAAAAATATAGTGTGAGAGAGAAAGAGGAGAGAGACTGAGTTTATTTCTCCAAATTTTTGAGCAATAAATACAGATCTGTTTAAAGAGAAGTAGCATATCCTTTCTGTTAAAGCAAAGGTATCAGAACTAATAAATCTGAAATCTCTTCAGTAGTCGTCCCCTCAATAGCATTCATCACCATAAACTTTTCTGAGACATTTACATGCCCCATTTCGGGTTTATGTCCCACCTTCCATTCCTGTTTTTGGTTGTGTACAGGTTTGGCACTGTTAGTCATTTTGAAAAAAAATATTTGTTTTTAATGTTTGGACCGGGGAAGGCTGTATGCTTGTGTTTTGATAAATTTGGATGATTTCTTAGAAAAAAGGGAAGGGTTAGGTCGAAAGAATAGAAAGAGAGAGCTTAAAGAAAAGGAGTTTTTAAAAAAGAAAGATTGGTTAGGTTTAGTAAGGAGAGAGGTTTTCAAAGAGTAAAGATTGGTTATTAAAGAAAGGACAGATTTTTTGTTTAGGTTTATTAAGGAGAGAGGGTTTTAAAGAAAAAAAATGGAAGAACAGAAGGAAAGACCTTAATGAAAAGCAGTTTAAAAAATAAAAGATTGGTTAGGGTAGATTTAGTAAGGAGAGTGGTTGGTTATTAAGGAAAGGAAAGATTTTTGGTTAGGTTTACTAAGGAGAGAGGGTTTTAAAGACAAAAGTTTGAAAGAAAGGTTATTATAAAATACAAAAAAATGTAATAAACGAGGAAATATCAAGGTGGCTTGAGATAGGAGCATTTAAAAAGAGTTATTTTGAAAAAAAAAAGGAAAATATAAAGGGAAAAAGAATTAGGCTGAAAGAGAGCACATGCCAGAAAAAAGGGAATTTTAAAAATTAGGAAGAAAATCTGTATTCAGTGACAAAGGGCTGTGTGAAAGAGATAAAGTATAGAAGACGAAAAGAGAGAGAGAGAGAGATGCTTTTCTGTTCATGAGCAGAACACAGGGCTGTGTGAAAGAGGTAAAGTTTAGAAAACAGCAAGAGAGAGAAAGATCTTTTTTTGTTCATCAGCAGAACACATGGCTAGTGAGAGAGGTAAATTATAGAAAGCAGTAGCAAGAGCTAAGCAGCAAGCTTACCCAGTGGCTGTCCCCAGGGAAATGATAACGATACCAGAGGCTGTGAGCCTTGGGAGGAAACCCTGCTGGACCAATCAGAAGCTGTTCTACAGCCCATCGCCTCCTCCTTCCTCCCTCCCTCTCCTCCCCTCCCCACCCCTCCTGAGATAAGCCCTGCATGAAAGATATCTCCACAACCTTTTCATATAGTTAAAGTTTTACCGAAAATTGACTTTTAATTTAAGTTTTGTAAAAGAATATACACTTAAAAGATAAGCGTGTTTGAAGAAACATTTCCCCAACACAAAAATAATGAGGAATCCCTGTGGCACCTTAGAGATGAACAAATGTATTTGGGCATAAGCTTTTATGGGCTAACACCCACTTCATCAGATGCATGGAGCTGACAAGAAGGTGTGAGTATCAGCAGAGGGAAAATTACTTTTTGTAGAGACCCATCCATGCCCAGTCTTTTTTTAGGCCTAATTTGATGGTATCCAGCTTGCAAATTAATTCCAGTTCTGCAGTTTCTCTTTGGAGTCTGTTTTTGAAGTTTTTTTGTTAAAGAATTGCCACTTTTCAGTCTGTTATTGAGTGTCCAGGGAGGTTGAAGTGTTCTCCTACTGGTTTTTGAATGTTAGAATTCTTGATGCCTGATTTATGTCCATTTTGCATAGAGACAGTCTGGTTTGGCCAATGTACATGGCAGAGGGGCATCTCTGGCACATGATGGCATATGTCACATTGGTAGATGTGCAGGTGAATGAGACACTTTAGCTCTGTCACACAGCCCTTTGTCATTCAACACAGGCTTTCCAGCTACTTTTTAAAATCCCTTCTTTTTCCATCTTGTGCTTTCTTTCAACCTTATTT